GGAGCCTATTACAGGAGAGGTCACGGGCTGCAGAGTTCTGGATGATCTGCAGCCTGTGGAGGGAGGAGTCGGGGAGGCCGACAAGCAGTGAGTTTGCATAGTTGGGCTTCGATGTAATGAAGGCGTGCACGAGGGTTTCGGCGGCCTGTGGTGTGGACAGTGGCAGAGCCGGGCGATGTTGCGGAGGTGGGGGAAGGCAGAGCAGGTCATGGCGCAGATGTGGGGTAGAAAGGATAGTTGAGGGTCAAACAAGCCCCCAAGTTACTGGACTGACTTAGTAAGGTGGAGTGTGTAACCATGGATGGTGATGCTGTCAGCGCCTGAGGTGTGGAGGCGCTGACCGGAGCCAATCAGGAGAGCCTCGGTCTTGCTGACGTTCAACTGTAGAAAGTTAGCTCTCATCCAGGACTTGATGTCTGACAGACATTCTGTGGTCCAGTGGTCCTGGAGTCAAAGGTGGAGGCAGAGAGGTAGAGTTGGGTGTCATCCGCATATGTGTGGAAGTTGACCCCATGTCTGTGGATGATGTCACCAAGAGGGAGCCCTGAGGAACACCACACGAGACAGTCCGAGGGCTGGAGGAGAAGCCGTTTGCTCGCAGTTGGCATTTGAGGTGAGGATAGGTGAGGTGTGAGAGGGTGGGCGGAGGAGTCGGTTCGTGATGGAGAAGAGGAGCCTGGGGTTGTCCTTAGCCTCCAAGATTGTCTTGGAGTAGAACGACGATTTATTGGAGATGAGGGCGGAGCAGGAGGATTTGACATGGTCCAGCCAAATCTGCCGGTGGACAGTTAGGTTTAATTTAAGCCGGTGCACTCAGCGGAATACGCCTGGGATTTAAGGGAGCGGAGGTGGCTGGTGTACCAAGGTGATTTGCGTGAGTAGGAGATGGTTCGGGAAGAGAGAGGAGTGAAGGAATCGAGAGTGGAGGAGAGGGAGCTGTGGAGAAGGGTGATCGAGGATGATAGGTCATTGCGGGAGGACGCCCAGAGGGGAAGGAGATCAGATGACTCCAAGGCAGCCGAGAGGGAGGGCAGTCATGACAACATCAACAACTTGCATTTATGTAGCGCCTGTCGTGCTGTGTAGTGGTATAGAATGTTTAACAATGGCATAGTTTGGTACAAACCAAGGAGAAAGGGGAGATGACTGTGTAAGCCCTCTGAGACACGAGCTACCCTGCGTGAGAGCCACTATATAAATGCAAGTTGTTGTTGTTGTATGCATGGTTGAAGAGGAAAAGTCTTCAGGTGTGATCTGAAGACGGGCAAAGAGGGGGTAAGATGGAGGGATTGAGTTCCAGAGAGTTCCAGAGGTTCGAGGAGCAGTGACCGAAACCACAGCCGCTGATGGTGGAGTGGTGGGTGAGATAATGTCAAGAACCAATACTGTATATTCAAAAAAAAGTTTTTAAAAAAATTAGATAGAACCTATTTAATAATAATAATAATCCTTGAATTTGATATAGCGCTTTTCACGTCAGGAGGACGTCCCAAAGCGCTTCACAGAACACACTGTAAAGTGAATTGACTGTATATTTGTGGGCGAACGCGGCAGCCAATTTGCAACCCCTTCTGGTTATTTCTATTTTCCTCATGATGTGTATGTGAAGTTTCCGTGTACAAAGTACATTTTGTTCTTTTATCTTTCAACGAAAGACCCTCAAGGATAATTTGATAATATAATTTCATGCAGGTTCACAGTGTTAGCAGTAGCTCAAATGCAATGTGCTCACGAGGACCAATGGTCATGATATGTAAATTCTGAAGAAAATCAGACCCCAGACTTCCTTCAATATACAAGAAGCTATGGGAGCTGGGAATGTTTGCATTAACCCAAGGAGGCTCGCGGGAGATTTTTTTGAAGTATTTAAGATTATAAATGTTTGACACAGTCAACAAATCGAGAACAAAGAGATAGGGAGAAAAGCTCCAAAAAACACAGGTGAACAGACTGGTTAGATTTGTCTCTTCACTTTCACAAATTTCTAACATGTAAACCAGATATCAACAGGCTATTGTATGAAATACATGCTTTTCTCACTTACTTCTACCAGAAGTCTTATGAGATAGAAGTCTTAATTGTTAAAAGTCATTAAAGGTTAAGAAAATTATGGAGGTAAAATTACGGAGGTTCAAAGTATTCCCCTTCATCCTGTCCTGAGATGGAGAGGGGAGACGGATATTTCTTTGGACAGCCGGGTGTCTGGCACATATGCAAACCCATCACTATGCTTAAGTGACTTTAAACAAGACTGAGAGTTCGACATAGTTATGCCACCTACACATGGAAATTTCTGTGTGTCTGGAATAAAATTCCCACAGTTTGCCCAGCTCGGGCTCCTGAAGATCTTTCTCTTTGAGTGTGCCTACAGTCACCTCCCCGCTCTCCCTAGCTTGGCATCAAGCACCACCACTGTTAAGTGCTCTAAGATGCTATCCCGTGTGAAAGGCACTGTATAAATGCAAGTCGTTGATGTACTGCGTTTACATTGCCACATGGCACCGCTCCAACTTCTACTCTCTGCCCTCAAAATCTTTTTACTAAAGTAACTTGCATTTGATGCCGCGAGCTTCACCTCAGGCAGACATCTCAAGGTGTTTCAGAGGATTTCCTGTCAATAGAATAAAAAAATAAAACTGATCGTTCACTTCATGGCTGTAGAGTATAGTGACTGTGTATTTTGTGGGAAATTGCGGCAATCAATTTGTGAGCAGCAATGTTCCACAAACAGCCCTGAAGGGAACGACCAACTTTTATCTACCAAGCAGGGAATTTCAAAAAAAAATTCCTCTCCTTAAAAGTTCCACTCAACAGTGACTCTTAAACCCCGAGATTTTCCTTCGTGTTTGATTATTCTTTCAAATATCGTGAATGAGAGAAAAAAAAATTTTTTTTTTGGGTGTGGGGGGGGGGGGTCCAGCTTTAAGAGCGGAGGTGCAGACTGAGCGCATTGCTCTGTATTTCCCCCCCCACCCCCCCCTGCCCGTCCGCTACACACACACAGACAGACACACAGACAGACACACAGGACCGTACGGACGGTCCTGTGTGTCTGTCTGTGTGTGTGTGTGTCTGTCTGTGTGTGTCTGTCTGTCTGTGTGAAACGTTGCTCATCGCAAAGGGATCGGCGGCTGAGGTCAAGCGTTTGAACGTCACCCTTCAATGAACAAAACACAAGAGTTTTGAGACTCGGTGCTCTTCCCCCCCAAAAAAACATTAGGGTATTCGTGTTGTTGTTTTAGATATCCGGATATAAAAGTTTCCTAAAAAGGGAGAGAGAGAGAGAGAGTGTTGGAGGGAAAGGAAAGGAAAGGGGGGGTTTAAGAAGTTGCTGAGAAACTTCCGCAGTGGGCGCGCCATTGTAATGCACGGGATCACTCGTGAGCCCAGAGCCCGACGCAGCTCCCAGGAGGATCAGGATCAACAACAACAACAACCACCACCACCACCACCAGCAGCAACAACTAACTACAAAGCTACGTTTATGCAGCGCCATTCACGTCGGAGCGACGTCCCAAGGCGCTGGACGGTGAAGCGTCTGCACCCGACCTGGGGAGTCGGAATCCAACCGAGATGTTAAATGGGGGAATTGGAATCGATTGAATCGGGACAGAAACTGGGAGCCGGCGGTCAGGCCCCGGAGAGAGAGTGTGTGTGTGTGTGTGAGCCGCAGCTACAGGGGAGGAGGCGGAGGAGGAATCAGCCCGGTCTCCCCCTCCCTCCCTCTGTCTCCCCCCTCCCCCTCTCCCCCACCTCCCCTCTCCCTCCCCTCCCCCCCCCCTCCTCTCCTCTCTCTCTCCCCGCATCCCTCCCCCCCTCCCTCTCCCCCTCCCTCTCTCTCCCCCCCTTCCCTCTCCCCCCTCCCTCCCTCCCTCCCTCTCTCTCCCCCCTCCCCCTCTCCCCACCTCTCTCTCTCTCCCCCCTCCCCCCCCTCCCCTTTCTCCCTCTCCCCCTCTCTCCCCCCTCTCCTCTCTCCCCCCTCCCCCTCCCCTCTTCCCCCCCTCCCTCCCCTCTCTCCTCCCTCCCTCTCTCCCCCCCTCCCCCCTCCCCCCCTCCCCTCTTCCCCCCCTCCTCCCCTCCCTCCCTCCTCTCTCCCCCCCTCTCCCCCCCTCCCCTCTCTCCCCCCCCTCTCCTCTCTCCCCCCTCCTCCTCTCTCCCCCCTCCTCCTCTCTCCCCCCTCCCCCCCTCCCCCCTCTCTCCCCCCTCTCCCCCTCTCCCTCTCCCCCTCCCTCTCCTCTCCCCCCTCCTCTCCTCTCTCCCCTCCCCCCCTCTCCTCTCTCCCTTCTCTCCCCCCCTCCTCTCCCCTCTCCCTCCCCCCCTCTCCCCTCCCCCTCTCCCCCCCCCCGGGGTGGGGCCGTGTCGCGCGGCCCCATTGTTGCTCGAGAACAAACGAACGGACGACCGATTTGACTTCACTGTGGAAGAGTGAGAGACGCCTCTCTCTGCGGAGGGGCGGCGCTGTGACTGGTGGGGGGTGTGAGGCGGTGTGAGGGGGGACCCGGTGTCACAGACCCATCACCGGCGGCGGCGGCGGTTTAAATCGCTGCTCGGAGTCTGTCGGCGGCACCGAGTCAGTCAGTGAGTGAGTGAGTGAGTGAGTGTCACTGACTCAGATCAACCCGACCCTCGGGGCGTGGAGTTCTCCTTCCCTTTGCTGCCGCGCCGGCGGGTTCCCCCTCGAGTGGGGGCGACCCTCCCCTCCTCCTCCTCCTCCCACCCCCACCCCCCGGCGGACCAGGAGTACTTCTCCCCCCTCTCTCGCATCGTCACTTGGCCGTGTGTGTGGCCCCGTCGTCTCGATGTCCCGGGAGCGGAGACCCGGGAAACTTTTTGTGAGCGGGTGAACTTTCCACTGGAAGCTGTTTTGCTTCGCTCCTCCGCCGTCAAAGTGAAGTTCTCTCTCTCTCTCTCTCTCCCAAACACACACATATATATATATACACCAAATATATATATATATATATACACCAAATATATATATATATATACACCAAATATATATATATACACCAAATATATTGATATATATATATTTATATATATCTATTTAAAATGGATAAATACGAAGACCTGGGAGTGGAAGCGAGTAAATTTATCGAAGACCTGAACATGTACGAGGCGTCCAAGGATGGGCTGTTCCGAGTGAGGCAGGAGGCCTGCAAGCCCGAGTTCGAGGAGACCAGGCGGGTGTTCGCCTCCAAGATGAACAGGATCCACCTGCAGCAGCAGCAGCACCACCAGCACCGGCACCAGCAGCACCAGCAGCACCCGGAGGAGATGGTGATGGTGATGGCGGCGGCGGCGGCGGCGAACCCGGCTCCGGCTTTCGCGGGATGAACGGCGACGGCGGCGGCGGCGGCGGCGGCGGCGACCCCGACTGCCTCCCCTCGGCCGACAGAGCCGCGCTCGCACCCCACCAGCACCACCTCCTCCTCCTGCTCGGCGGGCAGGCGGCGGCCACCAAGCCGCCGGTGCGCGGATCGGCCGCGTCCAACCCGCCCGCCGCCGCCTCCTCCTCTCCCACCCTTCACACCCCCCCGCCGCCCCCGCCGCCGCCGCCCCTCCATCAGCGGCTGCCCGATCTCCCGCGGCCCCCCGCAGGCGGCGGGTACTACCCCCGAGACGTCAGCCCGAGCCTGAGCCCGAGCCCGAGCCTGAACCCGCGCTGCGGCGACGGGAGCGGTTGCGAGAGCGACGGCGAGAGCTCCGGGAGCAGAGACCGAGCGCTCGGTCGCTGCGAACCGCCGCCGCCGCCGCCGCCGCCCTCGAGCCCGACCCGAGCCGAGCCGTCAGCTCAGGGAGACCTCCCTCACCCTCACCCCGGGCCCGGGCCCGGGCCCCGCCTGATCTCCCCCGACCAGGCGCCCCCCAGCCCCAGCCCCAGCGACCACCGGCAGCAGCACCGCTCCAGCCCGGGCAGCCCCCGCGCCAGCCTCGGGCTGTGTGAGCCCGCGGGCCCGGCCCCGGGCCCCCTCGATGCTGTCCCCGCCGCCAGCCCCAGAGACCCCCGGACCCCCGGCGGCAGCTCTGACCAGAGACCGCCGCCACAGCCACAGCCAACCCGGCGCTCTCCGCCCCTCTCCGCAGCTCCAGACCCTCCGCCCAACCGGTCCGGGCCGCCGCCGCCGTCGGTCGCCGCCGGAGCGGGAGAAGCCGCCTCGCCTCGCCGGGGGGAGCCCGGGCCCCACAGCCCGGGGCAGACCCACCTCTGCCGAGCCTCCGCCTCCGCCCCCTCCCGCTCCCTCTCCCTCTCCCTCTCCCTCCAGCAACAGCAGCAGCAGCAGCCGCCGCCGGACTGCGGTGTCCGTGCGGCGGGCGGCAGCCCCCGGGAGCCCCGGGTCCGCCTGCCCTGCCACCCCCTCGGGCAGAGGGACCCGGGCCCGAGCTCGGCCGAGTTAAAACTGGAGGCTCTGACCGAGCGCCTGGAGCAGGAAATGGACGCGCATCCCAAGGCGGAGTACTTCGGTAAGGAAGCGGTCGGGATCCCGGGGGGTGGGGTGGGGGGGTCTCTGCACCATCTCTGCACCACCCCCCCCCTCTCTCTCCCTCTCCCTCTCCCCCCCCACACAGTGTTTTGATGTCGGTGTAAATGCAACAGGACCCCCCCCCCCCCACCCACCCCACCCCGGATGGTGGGAGAGCGGAAAGTTGTGCCGCTTCTTTCCAGAACCGAGTTGGATGGATTTCCCATTAGGAAATTATAATAATAATAATAATAATCCTTGCATTTTGATCTCGCGCTTTTCACGTCGGGAGTTACGTCCCGAAGCGCTTCACAGAACACACCGCAAAGCGAATTTGACTGTGTGTTTGTGGGCGAACGCGGCAGCCGATTGCGCACAGCAATGTCCCACAAACAGTCGTGGATTGAAAATGACCAATTTATTATTGTTTTGGTTTTGGAGGGATTATTATTAGGCTCTGTGTGGAGTAAGGAAAGTTGCCCAAGGTTTCGCCCTCTGCCTGGAATTGAACTCAGGTCTCTCACTTGCAAAGCGAGTGCTCGAACCACTGAGCTACAGGACTCCACATAATGTCTGGAGATACGCTATATAGTTTGGGGCAGGACCATCCCACTGTTTGGATGGTGGAAGGTCAAACTGGATGGACCTCAAAGCCTTCTTTGCCCCTCACAAATGCTTATTGTAATGCGGAATCAGGTGTCGGGCCGCCGTGCGGAGAGCGCACGGACCTGGGGTGGGGTGGGCTTGGGGAGGGGAGGGTCGCCTCGCCTCAGGTGCACTTGTTTAAACAGGTCCTGTTGTCTGTCTCTGCTGACCGACTCGAACCAGATCCCTTCCGGATCACTCCACGCAAAGTTGTGCAGATCTTTAGAATTAGTCTTGCGGTTCAAGTGAATTTCACATGTTGTCTCGTTAAAGGGATAATAAGTACCCTCAGCCTTTCACTTAAAAAAATAATAATTTGGTCACTCAATCCTCCACTGTTTGTTTGACATTGCTGTGTGTTATTTGTGTTAAGCTCTCAAAACATATAGTCAATTATTCACTTTACAGCGTATTCTGTGAAGGGCTATGAGACACAACAAAGTGATAAGGTACTACATCAAATGCAAGGATTGTTATTACAAGGATTATAAAGTGCGGAGTAAATGCCAGTCAGTACTTAACCAATACTCTGATGTCACCAGTACCCAATGATCTCATGCCCTTCGTGAACAGTTTAGGTTAAAGATAGAATCTGGTTATCAGTGACTATTTTGTTTAAAAAAATCAATACTGTTGTTATGAAAGATCCTTTTATTATTATGAGAGATCACTTTATTTTTACTGTCTTGATTGCTGTTGACATAAGATGAGCAGTGGTGATCTGAGCTGACTAATTTCTTTGAGTAGTTACTGAGCTAAATGATGTGAAGCAGGGATGGTTATTAACCCAGAAAACTTCAGTGATCTTGTCTTTGTTAACTGTTATTTTCGCTCCTGCGTCATAATTATTATCACCCCTTTCTGCCATTTATTGCCTCCAATTTTCTACCTACCTACTAAAACATAAGTCACGTCACTTAACAGTGTATCCTGTGAAGTGCTTTGAGATGTCCTTTGGGACGTTGTCCCGACATGAAAGGCGTTATATAAATGCAATTTGTTGTGGTTGCCCTCCCAATGTGAAAAGCGCACAATATCAAACATAAGGAGAATTTATTTACCCCCCTTTCCTCTCCCGAAGATTTTTTTTCTACTGGATTTCGTTTCACAGACACCAGCATCTCTCCACTACGTTTTCTTCATGTGCTAGCATTGGCATGGTATTTGAACATGTGAGCCATGACATTCTGTGCTCATCTGACCTGCACACTCGTACACCTTGCAGGAAGGGTCTCCAGATAGCAGTCAGGAGCAGAACCCCGGCTGATTCTCCCCCTCCCAAACCCAGGAGCAGATAAGGCTCAAATGTGTTTGTCCACAAAACACACATTCACTGCACTTTTCAGCAAATCCTGTGAAGTGCTTTGTGACGTCTTCCTGATATGAAAGGCGCTATGCCAAATGTAAGGACTATTATAAGTGATATTCTGTCTGAAAAGAGCTAATTTAGTGCTGACTGAGGAATATTAATGGACTGGGAGACAGTGATGCAGTGGAGATTTTCTTTTAAGATGGAAGCAGAGCAGAGAGTGCTGCACTGGTCGTACTAAATTTGGCCAGGGACTGCTTCATGCTAACCCTGGGGCCTGCAATGGAAACTATTTCCATTCTCCAGCTCTGATATTTTGCGCCTCAACGCTGAATGCAAACATATTTTTCTTAAAAAATAAAATCAAAAATTTGCATTCAACGACCACCATTTATGTAAAAGAACGTCTCGAGGAGTTTCGAAATGTGGACACTGAGCAGAGGAAATAAGAGATTTAAAGATGTTAAGGCACAGTTAAAGAGATGTGCTTTTAGTGGTTAAGACAGGGTGAGAGGTACTGAAGCAAAGTGGTAATGAAAGAGAAATCCCGAAGGTAGAGTCGTAATAATAATAACAAAAATCCTTAGATTTGATATAGCATCTTATCACATCATTGAGACTTCACTGAATATACTGTAAAGTGAATTGACTATATTTTGTGGGTGAAACGCGGCAGCCAATTGCGCACAGCAGTGTCCCGCAAACAGTCGTGGATTGAAGCGACTAATTTTTTTTAAGGAATTTTAGAATAGTAACACTTGTAATTTGATTTTAGTAATAAGAATTTTGTGTCTATTATGGCGAGAACATCTCAAAAGTGCTTCGGGTTTCTGTGTAATGACTCCATTTTATTGGTGAACGTGGCAGCCAGTTTGTGCTGAGCAATGCCTTGTAGCTGCAGTGAATGACCAATGTTATCTGGAGGATTATTAGCCAGGGCAGCGGGAGAAACTCCCTTCTCTTTTCAAATAGTTTGTGGGATTTTTAGCACCCATCTGAACAGGCAGAAGGGTTTAATGTCTCACCCAAAGGACGATACCTCTTTTGAAGGAATTAAGATTTGTTGAACTTAGTGAGAATCAAAATGTCTTAGTTGGTCCTGCGCAAACAGGCTAGCTTGATTTACAACAACAAATTGTATTTGTATAGAGCCTTTCACGTCAAGAGGACATCCCAAGGAGATAAGCAGTTAGGGATTTGCACCCGAGCTTGGGGTTGGAATCGAGAAGGTTGGAGGGTAGAGGGAGTGGAAATAGGAATATGGCCAAAGACATAGTCAAAAAGGAAAGTCTTGAGATGGACCTTGAAGGAGGTGTTTAGTTTAGAGTGGCCGAAGGCCCGCCCGCCAATGGTGGGGTGGGCGAGGTGTGGGGCGTGAAGCAGCCCGGAACGCGCTGAGCGGAAGGAGCAAGCAGGATGGTAGGGGATTAGAAGGTCGGAGAGGTAGAGGGGAGTAAGGCTGGAGCGTTTTGAAGGTGAGGACCAGGAGGTGAGGACCAGGATCTTGAACTGTATCTCTGTGTGATGGGAAGCCAGTGAAGTCGGGTGAGGATGGGGTGATAGGGTAACGGAGCCTGGTGTTTGAGAGGACACAGGCTGCAGAGTTCTGGATAATCTGCGCCTATGGAGGGAGGGGTTGGGGAGGCCGACAAGCAAGGAGTTTGCATAGTCAAGCCTGTATGTTATTAATGCGTGTATGAGGGTTTTGGCGGCCTGCGGTGTGAGACAGTGAAAATGCATGTTATATCTTATTATTTATCCAGATACTGAATTCCCAGTAAGTGTTCTTTTAAAAAACAATTGCAGAGACAATTACAGATCATTTGTACTGAAGAAATGTTTTTTAAGATTGGTTAAAGAGCTTGGGGAGTGTGGATTGTTCACATAGGGATAGAAATACCACCTAGTCTAGATTTACTCTACTATTATTATTAATTATTATTATTTTAAGAACTATAGAAAAAGGAGGCTTCAAAGTTATACCTTAAAATTAATATCTAAACAGTCATGCAATGTGTAAGGAAGTCTCACCTCCGTAGTGGTAAATGAAATGCCCAATGAATCTGATATGTGCTGTCCTGTATGAAGGGTGCTATATAATTAAGTTGGTGTTCATCAAATTATATAACGTGAAGTTTTCTCACTTTTTGTTGCTTTATTTCTCTACCAGCCCTTTTCATGGTTGTTTTTGCTGGACTTTGCTTACACAAAACAAAGTCACTACACTTCATAGTAAATTGCCTACAAAAATACATGGTCACGACACTTTATTATGAAACCTCGTCTAAAGGACGTGTCATCAGGCTGTTCAGGCAACCCATCAAATGCAAGGTTATTACAGTACTAGATCTAAAATCCCTGAAGGAAAGGTTGAACCCAGTAACATGTACGCTGGAGGTATATCAACTGACCCTCGAGGTGCCTGGTGCGATCCTAGCACATCAGGACACCCGCAGAAAAGACAATCGTCTGTTCCTGTTGAAATAGTTAATTGAATATTTGGGCTTTGTTCTGTTCATGATCAGTGCTTGAATGAGCTGCCAATTCATTTATTAGTTATATACTTCAAAGAGAGTTGCTGGGACATTTGATGGCACACACAATGGGTCGATGCTGACCGCTGGTTGACTGACCGTTCAGCACCTTGTGTGTCAATGTGTAACGTGTCCACCTCCACAATAAAGTGTTTTGCAGCAGCTGCTTCACCAGTCCAGGGTTCACAAGCTGAGTTTGAGAACACAGATCCTGGGCTCCATCCATTTCTCCCTGATTAAGGGTGAGGTTAATTAAGATTAGGTTAGGCCTGATCACTGGTAGTGAAGCAGGCATGGCGGGGGCGTGCCTGCAGAGCAAAGGGAAGGGACAGGTTCCAGAGGGTGGGGGCAGAGTGGCCGAAGGCCCACCCACCAATGGTGGGGCGGGCGAGGTGTGGGATGTGAATGCAAGTTCTCCTACATTTCCCTCTGTGGTGGTCCTGGTAGTCTGATTGTTGAGCCGGGTACTCCAGGATAATGTTAATAACAGAACAGACCGCTTGGTTCAATGGCATGGCTTGCAAGGGCAGACCAGTCGCTGGATGAAGAGATTCTTCCCACTTGACTCCTATTAACCCTGCAAACCAAAGCCCTAAGGTGGAAGAGTGGCCCTCGCTGGACAAGGGGGAGGAAACTTACAAGCAAGTGCAATTCAATGGCAAAGTAAGTTGAGACTCCAGCAGGTTAAGGTTAAGACTCCAGCAGTAACCCCAACCCACACTTTAAAGCTCTCAACCTGCATCTGATACATTGTGGGATTGGATAGGCAGTGTTTGTCCTTTCAGAGGTTTTCCTTCTTCCCCTGAACCAGTACCAAACCACATGGTGCATTAGCCATTGGAGATAAACAGCAACAATAGGTTCTTGAGTGAGATTTGTTCCGGAGACTCGGGTCTGGTTGGGAATTTGAAGTTATTGTGTATTGTTTCATGAGAGTCGTTCTATTTTTAGATGAAGATAACCTCTGCAGTGTTCCTTGGGGGGCATTTGCATCCAGATGTGTGCCAGCATTACACACAGGACTTTGGAATTGTTTTAAACAACTCTTGAATAAGATCTGCAGCAAAGCATTGATTTCAAGCCCTATCTCTCTCGGGAGCTAATGGGCAGCTTTAGAATTAGGTCATTGACTTCAAGGTTCAGGGTCCAGGGTCTGGGCAAAGGCTGCATTGTGAGAGGGATGAGCTAATTGGCAAACGTGCTGACCATGGCTATACAAACTTCGTAGCTGAAGGTGCAGCCCTATTGTACATACTGATCTCTTTGTTTTGTCCGTGAATGCAGATTCCACACTCAGCATTGGCACAGCTGTCCAAACAAACCAACTGTGAAGCAACCCCCCCCCCCCCCCCCCCTCATTCTCTCTCTTCCCCCTCCCCATTTTGGCACAGCGGTTGTTCTAGATGGGTGTGTTTCTGACACTGTGAAGTCCTGTGTCATTTTTAACTAGTGAGAAAAGCCCCGAGGAGGGGTGAGGTCAGTAGACGCTAGCATTCCAGCAGGATCCGCCCTTGCGTGTATTTCTCTCCTGTGGTTTTGAAGATTAATTATAGGCTTTTAACCCTGCCTCTCGCTGTTGCCGCAGACGCGTGTTCTGTGCTGGAGTTGGTGTGAGTGGAGAGCGCAGGACAACTTAAGGGGAAATGTGGTGACAGCGGGATTTTCTGCACCTCCACCTTTTTTGTTTCCTTCCTGCTTCCAGTTAAACACAACAGAGGAGCAGAGAAAGACAGAGGGCAATGGGGGTACATATTAACAGTCACCCCATCACATTAGCAGTTAGTGCTCTGTGTCAGGGCTTCATTAACTTGGAGTCAATATTATTCTCAGGATTCAGCACGCTTTACCCTACAGAAAGCTGCTACTGCTCAGCATCTCCACTCCCATGCTGTAGCAAAGGAAGTATTTTAAATCAAAACCAGTGTTGTATTGGGAGGTAAGATGGAAAGAATTTTCATTTATACAACCAAGGAGTTGTTCTTTGCTTTTACAACCTTTTAAGTTTGAAGTTGCTGATTGGAGTAGGTTGCTTCACCAACCTGTCCTCTCCCTCCATGCTGCAGGCACCGTGTGTGTTTGGTGTGTGGTGTCTGCGTGGCTTTGGTGCAAGCTTACAGAGGACAGGCTTTCTCTCATAAAGTAGCATGATTGGAGAAGGAGTACTACCACCCCCCCAGTTGTGTCAGGGAATCCTTCTCCACTCAGGGATCTCTGGAAAACCATCAAGATCCTTTGTAAAGTGTTGTGACGATAAACTAACCGCATCACAGGGCCCCAGTGGACGATCTTCTCACCTTCACGCTCCCAAATTGTGCTAAGAGCGTTATAAATCTTTCCAGAGCAGGTCAGCTATGGGCCAAACCTCTGTCTGAAGGTCGCTTTGAAAGCGTTTCTGTCATTATTTGGAGAGCCTTTCTTCATATGTTTATTCAGTGGATTATCCGAGGAGATAATTTAATGGCGAAATATGTCCTTGCAACACAGAAATATTAAAACAAAAACAGAAGTCGCTGGGAACACTCAGCAGGTCAGAAATGTTAGTACCTCTCCACCCCTCTGGCTGAGGCCTCTCTCTCTGTGAGTTAGTTGTATATTTTAACTGATAAATAAAAATGGTATATTCATAAACTGGATTTTTTGCCTTAACTCTGGGCGTTGTGAAGTTCTTGGCTCTCTGTACAATATTATCGTTCGCCCACAAATATACAGTCAATTCACTTTACAGTGTGTTTTGTGAAGCGCTTTGGGACGTCCTCCTGACGTGAAAAGTGCTATATCAAATGCAAGGATTATTATTATTATCATCCATGGTATGATCAGTTGATTCGCCAAACAGCTGATCCTGAAAGCCGACAGAGCTTGTAGCGAGTGAGCATGTTTGCTCTCCGCACTTTTTCTGCCTTTGGGATTCCCGAGCAAGGTGTCTTGTGAATCTCGCGCATCGGAACAGTTTCCGATATACTCAGCAAATCTGCTTTCCAAATATCACAAACTTAGATCTGTGAGTGGTGCTGCTGGGCCTGCTGTGATTGGGGATCTTTGCGTGCAGACTGCGGCTGATCTAAAGACGTTAACTAACCTCCGTCTGTTTTCTTCTTCCAGGGACTTGTGTGAAATGCAGCAAAGCGGTGCATGGAGCACACCAGGCCTGCCAGGCCATGGGGAACCTGTACCACGATGCCTGCTTCACCTGCAGCGCCTGCAGTAAGTAACATTTCTACATGCATCGCGTCCACCTGGTCTTGGGCAGGAGGAGCTGGGAGCACAGGACACAGTGGATGTCTTGAGTCCATGGTGTCCGTCGTGGAGTGCTTGGCTCTCTGCACATTATTACGCTCCATGTTACGCTGGGAGCTATTTTATGCATCAAGCACGCATAAAATGACGTCAGCAGTAACCTGGTGAGCCAGGAATTTCCATTTATTTTGCGCCTCGTTTACAACTTGGTTAGTGGTCGCACTCTCATCTCTCAGTCAGATGGTTGTCGGTTGAAGCCCCATGTTGGGACTGGAACTCATTGAGTCCAGGTTGATGCTCCAATGCAGTGCTGGGGGTGTGCTGCATTGTGGAGGTGCCGCCCTTCAGATGAGGTGTTAAACTGACGTCCCGTCTGCCTTGTTAAAAATCCCAAGGCACTATTCGAAAAGAAAAGGGTGTTTCTCCTGGTGTGCTGGCATCAATCCCCACAAAATAACATTAACCATTCACTTCACAGCTTTTTGTGAGACATTGTCGTGAGCAAAATTGGCTGTCACATTTGCCCACAAAACACACAGTCACTGCACTTCATAGTAAATCCTGTGAAGTGTTTTGGGACATCCTCCCAATGTGAAAGGCGTTATATCAAATGTAAGGATTATTATTATACCATATTAATAATAATAATAATCCTTGCATTTGATATAGCGCTTTTCACGTCGGGAGGACGTCCCAAAGCGCTTCACAGAACACACTGTAAAGCGAATTGACTGTATAGTTGTGGGCGAACGCGGCAGCCAAAGTATTGATTGATTGGAGGTGTGGATTGGTTGATTTTTTTTATTGGCTGCCGAGGGTTGCGTGAGAATTTGTTTGCTTGCAATGCTCAGTGTAACCTTCAACAGAAGTAGGTTTCTGACTCCAAAGCCTCTGCTCAAATGCACAGTGTCGTTGTGGAGCAGGGGGGACCTGAGCTGGGGCACTGAGTTATACAGTACTTCAGGAAACGCAATGTTGGTTTTAGACCCTGAGCATCTGTTTGCATAATGCAGGGTCTATTTAAAGAGCAGGCTGCTAGCTTTAAATAAAGTGGGCGGGGGAGCAGGACTTCCTCTGCTGTTCCATTCTTCGTGTTGTCTGTCACCTGCAGTTTTCAACTACTAGCATCTGAATGTTAGGCCACGACTTCTGAGTATAGGGGTTACTTGAATGTGTTTCCTTGAATGGCTCTGGCCTCCTGCTTGTTCCTCGTGCCCTCTGTTCCACCATCAATGGCCGCACTTTCAACCACCATGCCCCGAAACTCTGGAACACTCTTCCTCTATCTATCCCTCCGCATTGCCCCTTCCTTCCCCATCTTCAGGTGGCATCTGAGACCTTCCTCTTCGACTGTGCTTAAGGTCACCTCCCTTTCCCTCCGGCTCGGCGTTGTGCTCCACCACTGTCTCAATAAATAAATAATAAATTGGTCATTCATTCCACGACTGTTTGTGGGACACTGCTGTGCGCAATTGGCTGCCGAGTTTTGCCCACAAAATATACAATCAATTCACTTTACAGTATATTCTCGAAGACGTCTCGAAGACTTGATAAGGCTCTATATCAAATGCAAGGATTATTATAAGTGCTCTGGGATGCTACGCTGTGTGAGGGGCACTATGTAAGTGCAAGTTGCTTTTTGTTATTGAATGGTGACCTGGCTCTTTTTTTAAATGTTGCAACAGTTAGTCACTGAGTCAAAAGCTTATTTTTGTTGCGGAGCAAACATATTCCCCTCCGCTGGGGCTGCTCTTCCCAGTGCTGACTGACAGTGGGTGGGCAGGTGCGAGGATAAATTAGTGCTGTTACCCATCAAGTATTATCTGCATTAAGCTCTGTGAGCTGATCACCCCCACCCAGCCTCGCCCAGCTTCACTGGCTCCTTATCCCCCAGACGATCCAGTTTAAAATCCTTGTCCTCACTTTTAAAGCCCTCCACAGTCTTGCTCCTCCCTAATACCTCTTTGATCTCCTAAAACCCTACCAACCTTTTCACTCCCTCCGCTCAGCAGGTACTGGGCTGCTCCATGTCCCTTTAGCCTTTCTGTCTCCCACTCTCTGGAATTCGATCCCCAAGCCGCCGCCTTGCTCCCTCCCTTTCCTTCTCAAGACCTTCCTCTTTGACCATGCCTTTGGTCATCTTGCCAACCCCCTTGCCCTCCTGACTCTAGCCCACACTCGGGTGCAAACCTTTTATTACCCAACATCTTGGGACATCCTCCCAACATGAAAGTTGCTATATAAATAGAATTAGTTGTCATATTGTTTCTGCAGATTCACAGACCGACAGATAGAAACATAAATACGCAAATGTATGTAGGTTATACAGAGTTTCACATTGTTCCTGGGGCGAGAGTCTGGGAAGTTCCAACCCACTGTGTCTTGTGCCCGGCGGCTTGGTGCTGTGACACTTTTTGATCTCTCAGTACTGGGTGGTGGGGTAGGGGGGTGCAGAGCGGAGTTTGCATGGGAGGGGCAGAGGGGAAAGGGTGAACTGTAGGCGAGGCTCTCTGAGATCTTCTAAGCAGGAGTGGAAGAAGCCCGCGGCTGAGTTAAACAGCAGATTTGTGTGGGATGACCATGTTGGGGTGGGGGGAGGGAGTAGGTTGTGGAGGAGGAATGGACTATGGGAGTCCAAGCCTAGCCAGTTGCCTCCAGACTCTCTAAACCAGGAGATTGTTGCTTGGCACAGCCCGACCGGCAGAAAGGACACAGACCCAACTCTGCTGTGAGAGTTTGATGCATTATTGTCGAGTTTAAAACTGAGAAAATAGTCCCAGTCTGAGTGAGGCCTTATTATACAAGTCAGCTGCTCCAGCCCAGTCTCTGGGGACGTTTGGATTCCACTCCTTGCGTTGTCAGCCAGACATTCGTCGGCCCACCCCCACTCGATGAGTGTGGAACGTTCTGGAATGTTAATACCAGTCCAACGAAGGGAGATTACTACAGTCCAGTACAAGTGGGATCAGCTGCGTTTTTCTGGTTAAAATTAGCAATCGCAAGGCTGTCCAACTGGGGCCCAAGTTCCATATTCAAAGTATCCTCTCGGTGATCTGAAACTGACGGGAATCAATCCCTTTCCCACGGTAACTGAGGTTTTATTAACCCCACAATTCCTCGCACTTTAATCATAATAATTCTTGCATTTGATGCAGCACCTTTCATGTCAGGAGGACATCCCAACGCACTTCACAGGATTTTAGTGTGAAGTGCAGTAACTCTGCACTTCGTTGAAGGTCGCAGCAGTCAATTTCCGCACAGCAATGTCCCACAAAAAGTCATGAAGTGAATGACCAATTTTATTTGGCGGACTGTTGACCTGGCAAATCTCCATAACCCCATCTCACCAGTTCCAGCCAGGCTCCACTGGTTCCCCATCACCGAGCGGATCGACTTGAAGATCGTAACACTTGTGCTCAAATCCATTCACTCCCTGACCCCTCCCTACCTCTCCGACCGCCTCACTTCCCAATTCACCACCCGGTGCCTCCGCTCAACTAGCACCGGCCTCTTACTTGTCCCTCACATACTCGCTCCACCATTGGAAGTCCCGCTTTCAGCCACTACACCCCAAAACTCTGGAACACTCTCCCTCAATCCCTCTGCCTTACCTCCCCTCTCCCCTTTTTCAAGTCTCGTCTGAAAACCTTCCTTTTCGACCATGATTATGGTCACCTCCACCCGCGGCTCGGATTCAGGCTCCGCCACTGTTAAGCGTTCTGAGACGTTACCCTGCGTAAAGGGTACTATATAAGTGCAAGTTGTCACTGATCAGTGCTCCACATGTAACTGAGTTCTACATCTGCCTTGTAGTGAGCGGGAGGTTTGTGCATTCTCTAATGCTGTTAGGTGTTGTATACAGATAATTACGCCTCTCAGTGGGCTCATGCCAGTGGTCACGCTGCAGAGACCACCATAAAGCCAACAGTTTCCCAAAGGAGTTGCTCTCAGCAGCATTTGCATAGTTGGAGTTAACTTGATCCTCTGTTCCTTCTCCTCTCTCGAAGTATGTTCGCCCACAAATATACAGTCAATTCACTTTACAGTAGATTCTGTGAAGCGCTTTGGGACGTCTAGAAGATGTGAAAAGCGCTATATCAAATGCAAGGATTATTATTATTATTACTTTTGGTGTTGGCCTGGCTCAGTTGGTAGCACTCTCACTACTGGGGCAGAAGATTGTAAGCTGAAGCCTTAAGTCAGGACTTTATGCTCATAGTCAAGCGCCCTAGGATATTTTTCCGAAGTGAAGAGCGCTATACAAGTGTAATTTGTTGTTGTTTTGTGTTTTTAGTCATGGGAATGAATAGTTCCTTCACTTTTTGTGAATGAAAACAGCATATTTAATTTGTTGCTTGTTCTCCGCAGGTAGAAGATTGCGTGGGAAAGCGTTCTACTTTGTCAACGGAAAAGTTTATTGTGAGGAGGATTTTCTGGTGAGCGTGATTTCTGTGCTGTGACCTGCCCTGGTTCACTCCACACAATCAACAATGTCGCTGGTGTCTTTGGGAAGAGGGCACCACCACGCATCCTCTTGGGTTCATCCAGTGCTTTTAGTACAACACAGTACTAGTTTACATTTATATAGCACCTTTCACATCGGGAGGAAGTCCCATAGTGCTTAACAGTAGTGCCTGGGCACCCTAGCTGGAGGTGGGAGCCAAGTGGGGTGGGATCAAAGTGTGTTTAAAGAGGTAGATCTTGAAATGGACCTTGAACGAGTTGAGGGTGGGAGTGAAGTAATCCCCCTCCCCTGTCCATCCATTTAATTTCCTTCCTCAGAATAGCTGTCGGCACTTTGAGCTCACAATTTAGGTTGACGCTCCAATGCAATACTGGGGGAGCACTGTATTGTCAAAGGTGCCATTCGTCAGATGAGGCTTTCAAACCCAGATCCTGTCCGCCTGTTCAGGTGGTTGTTAAAGGTCTCCGTGGTGCTATTCGAAAAGCGAGAAGTGAGTTTGTCCTGACCAGCTGTGCTCCAGATTAGTTGGTCATTTATCTTATGCCAGTTTCAGGGACATTGCTGTGCAGCCACGTTTGAAACAGAATATAGTCACTAATAATTATTCTGAAGGGTTTATGAACCCCTTATGAACATGTTGAAGTTTTGGGTGCTATAAAAACGCAAGATTCTTACGGGTCCGGGGGAAATCACACTGCTGTCAATCAACCCAGATTCAGAGTAATTAATTAATCGCACACTATGGCTCAAGATAGAAGGTGACGTTTTTGGAGGAATGAGTCTCTGGGATGGGAAACTAAATCTTTAAACAATCTAAATACACATCCCATTGTCACCTTGTGTTGACTATAAGCAGATCAGTGGTATCTTAAGTGAATCTCTCTCCTCTCCTGCTCACACTCTTATCTCTCTTTTTCTCCACAGTACTCTGGCTTCCAGCAATCCGCTGACAAATGCTTTGCTTGTGGGCACCTGATAATGGAGATGGTGAGTGCTGCAGAACACCTCAGGCTGAGTTGTATGCTATCCCTGGGTGTTTAACTGCCTCTTCACCAATACTGTTTAATGTTCTCCTCCTGCACTCCTTCTGTCATGCCCTTAATTCCTCACTTCATGGCTTCCACAACTGCCAACCCCAGTTCCTCACCTGGGGGATGTGCAGCTTAAATACCCCATCCAGTCATTCCAGACATAAGAGTGGACACAATCTGCAGTTCCATTTCTGGGTGACCACTCCAATGGACACAGTGTGGCTATTGCATAGACTTGTTTGTTTTGCCAGCCTTATATGACAGTTGAATTCCTGAGCGCAGGTACAGGAGGAGGCCATTCAGCCCATCGAGCCTGTGCCATTAGTTTATTAGAACGTGGCAGATCTTTAATCCCATTATTCCACATTCCTTCCCATTTTTCTTAATAACCTTCCTTATTAAGTATCAAGTATTACCAAGTAACCTTTTAAATATCCCAGTTGATTCACGTACCAGCTCTTTCCCTTAATGGTTTTACTGCTCAGACGTGTGTTCCATTCCCCTTTTGAATGATCAGCCGAACCTGGTTGGAGTTTTGAACATAAACTGTGCCAGAGATTGATCCCCAGTGGAGGGGACTGCTTGCAGAGGAAAAAGCACTTCAGACACCCACAGCTTGGTATAGCAGGTATAGGCGTGACCTACAAAATACAACAAAAACTTGCATTTATATAGACAGTAACTACACTTTACTGTAAATCCTGTGAAACACCTCCAGAAGGCGATGTGAAAGGCGCTATATCAATGCAAGGATTGTTATGTGATTATTATAACTAGTTGCTTAAAGAATGCTCTGAGGTTGAGGGTTGCGCACGTTCCCTTATGGTATAGCGCTCTGGGCCATTCCTCCTCACTGATGCCTTTTGTCCACATTAGATTCTCCAAGCCTTGGGCAAGTCATATCACCCTGGATGTTTCCGATGCGTTGAATGCAACGAGTGTCTGGATGGAGTCCCGTTCACTGTAGATACAGAGAATAAGATCTACTGCATAAGGGATTACCACAAGTAAGCCTATCTCTCTCGTTCAGTGCTAGTAACACACAGGATCTTGCTGGGTGAAAAATGGGCAGCGTGTTAGTCTACACAAATAGTCCGTACACTTTTTATATGTCCGTACAGCACCATTTCTACTTAAATAGCATTTATGTAGCCGTTCACTTGGCTAATGTCTGGGAAAGCTTTACGGTGACAGGGTTGTATACTGAGAGTGGGAAGAAAGGGAGGGAAGCTCTATTGAGATGTTTCGATGCTACAGACATTTGTTTATGGATGGACATTATTTCTGCATCTCAGTCCTAATGTTAAGATCATTGCGTTAACATTTAAGATCGTGGAGAATGTTTGGAAAATTCTTAAATTGAGTTATAAAGTGGAATTCATAACTGCAGAAAAAACAACTTCAAATTAAGACCAGAAGAATCTTGAATTGTTGTAAGAATTTTCATAAATTGGGCACGACCTTAAACTTTATGACGACTGTCTTGAGGCTTATATCTAAGGTCTTTTAGACCTCTGTAGTCTCCTTCCTCTCATCCAGCTGTTTCTCCTTAAGATATTAGCTGTGCTCAGGGTGGCCAGCATTCTTTGATGGTGTAAAGTGAGACGGGTGGATGAGATGCCTGTTGTGCGTCATCACTGTCAGACCATTTACCATTAAAGATGTTGGAGGAGTTTCCATTATTCAGGCCATTAAACGGGGATCTTGAGTATTGGGGTCAGTGTCAGGAATGTTGAGTTCTCATCCCTTAGGTGAGCTGAAGCTATTCAATTATTAACTGACTGGCATGGATTACAGCACAGGACGGCTGAGCCCAGCTCTCAGCTTGCTCATTAATTACATTGTGCTTTGTTTGTTAGCTGGTTCCTGCCTGCTTCACAGTCTGAGTTATTGCTGTGGTTGTGTGGCCCATCTCCAGGATTACTTCAGGTGACTGTTTCATGGCTAAATGCCGCTGTCCCTGCTCCCAATGACCAGGAAGTTGTGTGTCTCTCTGTGTGGACACTGAAGGTGACAGCACGGTTCTAGCTTTGTTTTGACACTCGATGTGTTTTACCCACAAAATACACAGTCAAATCCACTTTGCAATATATTCTGTGAAGCGCTTTGAGACATCTCAACGAAGTGATAAGGCGCTATACCAAATGGCAGGATTATTATTAAGCATTTGGAAAAAAAACGACACGTTCGGGAAAATGACGATGAGACTGACGTGCCAGAAAAGGCTCTTGGGGATGTGAAGGAAATAGCTTCTCCTGGGGATAAATCCATGAGTGTGACTTCAACCCAGAGGAACTCACTCAGTGGTGCATGGCGATGGGTGGGGATTTGCACTTAGGTCCTGAGATCCCTTTTTCCCTGTGACAAAGCCTTACTTCCACTGCTCTTTTTAACCCCAATAATCATGTTGGTTCGGACTCTTGCTGGGTGACTTTTCCGTGGGTGGATGCCAGTCACCCTCTGGTATATTACCTGAATGCCATTATTTACCTCAGAGCCTCGCCGTTGAATGTAGGTGAGCTGTTTATCCCCAAAGCAGAGCAGGGCATCATAGCTGAGTCGAATTCCGGGTGTAAACCAAAGTCCCACAACACCTCTTCCAGCAAGTGTTACTGGGTTGGAGCTGATGGATTTTTCCCCTACATCTGATGCCCTTTCTGAAAAAGAAAGGTAGGATGAAGTTTTGGCCTTCAGAGTGATACAGTATATACAAGGCTGTGTTGTCCTGGCTGCTCTTTCACTGAGGCTCGGAGCATTCAGCACCATTAGGCTTTTTAGTGATCATTGCTCCTGTTTTCTGGTTGAAAATGTTGGAACCTGTAGAGTAGTGAATGACGTTGCAACAGCTCAGAGGATCTGTGAGAACTGGGAAAGGGGCCAGAGACTCTTCAGTGAATACACCAGGATGGCATCTCAGTGACAACACCTGCTTTTCATCAGAAACTGGCCGGGGAGCATTTTTTAAAAATTATGCCGTAACTTTCCAAAAAAGCTAAGGCAGAATTTTCCATTGTGTCAAGCCCAGCAGTGCGCTTGTTAATTAAACTGGCAGTGTTTATAGGTCCAGACACAGACATTAGTTTTCCACACAGAGGTGCCACGTGTTACAGCAGATAGAAAACAAGCACGAGAAGTAAGATTATTCTTTGCACCTGTGTGAAGCCCGTGAAAATAAGTTGCTGCTGTGACAAAATAGCATTAACGGGCAGCTCAGGCTACAGCCTAACACCCCTTAAAATGATTTAAGAAAAAAAAACAAGCTTGAAGTGTTAAAAAATGCTTTGAATCACAACTGTCTTCCCTCAGCAGTGTCTTGTCATAAATGTTATAAATGTATCTCTGCTTCAGAACTTGAAAAGTATGTAAGCTAATTAAATTTAATGCATATACAAGCTACAATAATATTGTTCCTTCACCAGACAGACAACCAAATGAAATGTGGCAGTCTTTGATATGCCAGTGGATCTGATCGATGTCCCTAAGATGTGACAATGATTTTTGTTATTGACTTTGTTGTTCAGGCTCTTAGTCATTTAATGTGTCTTGCCTATTTTAAAGAAAACAACTGCTTTGGTCAATGGAATGTTTAAATAGTGCTGATTTTCTAATATTTTAGGATGCCAGTGTGGCTCAGTTGGAATTGCTCCTCCCTCACTTCAGGGTTATAAGGTTGTGAGCTCAAAGCCCAATATTGGGTCTTGAGATTAACAGTCTAGACTGACAGTCCAGTGAAATGTCTAGTGAGTGCTGAATTATCAGAGGTGCATCCATCGACTTTTGGGATAGAGAAAAGATCTCTTTTTTGTGCCTATTTTAGAAATCCTTTGAATATTTGTGGAGTCCTGTAGCTCAGTGGTTAGAGCGCTCGCCTCTCAATCGAGAGACCTCTGTTTGATTCCCAGCAGGATGAAACCTTGGGCAAGTTTCCTTATAATAATAATCTCTCAAGAAAAAAATAATAAATTGATCACTTCAATCCACGACTGTTTGTGGGACACTGCTGTGTGCAATTGGCTGCCGCGTTTCGCCCACAAATATACGGTCAATTCACTTTACAGCATATTCTGTGAAGCGCTTTGAGACATCTAGAAGACATGAAAAGCGCAAAACAAAATGCAAGGATTATTATTATTATTCTCGTCAGGAACTGTGGCCAACGTGTGACTTCACTAGACTCTGGTGTCAGCCTGGCTCAGATGGTAGCTTGCTCACCTCTGGGTCACAGGATTATTGGTTCAAGTTTGAGCTCGGGTGTTTGAGCTCGTCATTGTAGGCCGCCACTTCAGTGGACTGCTGCATTGTCGGAGGCGCGTCCTTTGAACGAGATGTTAAACTGATGTCCCATCTGCCTGTTCTTCGTAGATGTTAAAGATCCCATGGCACTAGTAACAAAGATAAGGGAGTTTCTCCTGGTGTCTGACCAACAATCCTAGAAATTCATTGGTCATTCACTTCATGGCTGTTTGTGGGTCCTTGTTTTGAACAAATTGGCTGCCACATTTTCCCTCAAATACACAGTCATTAAACTTCATAGGAATTATTTGTGAAGCACTTTGAGTTGTTTTCATGCTATAGGTTGCATTTCAAGGAAAGGTTCTGTTACAAAACTGAATTGGTTCTTGTTTGGCCAAGTGAATGCTGCATGTTGTTGTACATGATGTTTTCAGTGATTACTGACCCTGTACAGTGTTCATCTAATCTGGAAAATGTATGGAATGAGCTCCTTTGAACAAAGTGAGCTGAAGAGTTCCCAGTGTATGGTGGGCTTTGTGATGTGTGTGGAAGCTTATGGTTGTGTGACATATAGCACTTTTAACATGTTTTCTCTTTCAGAGTGTTGGCTCCAAAGTGTGCAGCGTGTGGTCAGGCCATCCTGCCAACCGAGGTCAGTATTACGGGGGGGGGTTAATAAGATTCATTAATTACAGTAAAACTTGCCATAAGTCTGATCTGTATAAACCTTATAATTGCCTAAATCAGACGTATGCCCAAGTCCCGTTCAAGAGTTTATAATTTGGCTAATTTACCAGACACAACTGCTCACTCCTCATACCCTTTAAATATACAGGCACCACTACTTCAAGCTTCTATCCAATTCATTTTGAAATAAATTATGAATTCCACATTTCAACCATCCTCTGCGTAAAGATATGTTTTCTAACCTCCCCTTTAATATAATAATAATCTTTGTATTTCCATGTCAGGAGGACATATTAAGTGCTTCACAGGATATATTGTAAAGTGTAGTGGCTGTGCATTTGTAGGCAAACACTGCAGGCAATGTGTGCTCAGTAATGTCCCATAAACACAAGCGAACATTCTGCTAACTTTCACTATTGGAGTATTGGGTAAAGTATAATCACTGGGGTCTACTGGCGCTACGTGTAACTCTACCCCAGAAAATGCTAGACTCCTGAATCTTTTATTGGCAACATTTGTGCTGTATTGAGTCAGCTGAACGATTGTGTTGCTGATCCATCTGGTTTGACAGGTAACATAAGGAACATGTTTTGCCTTAGTTTGTGATATCAGATTAGTTTGTTGACAGCAGGGAAATGCATAACATTTGATAACAAATTCTGGCATACATTCAGGAATTAAACCTGTGCATGATATACCTGAAGGAATCCGTAAATAAACATGAAGGAATTTAAAATCCTTTGCAATGCATTTCTTGGCTACAAGGTATGCAGTCACACCATTTGACAGTGAAATCTTGCGGAGCATTTTGAGACAGTCCTCATGAGGTGAAGGACAAATGCAAAAAATATTATTATTATTGGCTGTCGTACAGACTGCATAGAGCAGTCCTCACTCAGCATGTGGCTCCTGTCACTTAATGAATGACATTGAGCAGAATCACATCATGGTGTCAGATTGTTTTCTGACTTATTTGGGAGTCATTGTGAGGTGGGAAAAATCATTGTCTTCACGTATTACAAGTTGTCAAAAGATTTGCTAACCAAAAGATTTGCTAATTTGCTAAATATCTCTGGGTTTGGAACATCTCATTCTCCCAACTTGTACACAATTGCGCAAAACTAAACAATTACTGATTTTACAGTGTCTAATTTCCACAATTTACTGAATATTTTATTGACTGGTTGTAGGAGGCACCAGCCTCCTGCTCGTCCCTCGCACCCTCCGCCCCACCATCAGAGGTCACACTTTCAGCTGCTACGCCCCAAAACTCTCTCCTTCAATCTCTGCCTTGCCCCCACTCTCTCCCCTCTTTCAAGTCCCGCCTGAAGACTTTCCTGTTCGACCGTGCTTACGGCTGCCTCCCCCTTCCTCGGAGTCAGGCTTCGCCACTGTTAGGTGCTCTGAGACGCTACCCTGTGTGGGAGGCGCTATATAAGTGCAAGTTGTTGTTGTAGTGTTTACTGATTCATTTATCGACTAGTTCTGTGGGCTAATTGTATAATATTTTCTGTAATTCTGTAGTTTATTAATTCATGTATTGAATAGTTTGGGATTTTACTGAATAATGTATTCATGAGAAATATTGATTTAATTTTTGGACAAGTTTTAGAGTTTATTCATTTAATTCATTGTCTAGGCCTAGAGTTGCCTGATTAATATATCACCTTATTTACTGAAGTCTACAATTTACTGCTGGCAAAATATGAGGGACTAGCTTTTAGAATTTGTTTGTAAACTGTTTCCCATCTCAATAAGTTAATACTGAGCCTTCCATCAATGCGTCTGGTAAACTGGTCAACAAAATTCTAAAACTATTTGGGATTTTGGTCAGGAATTCCAAGAATGTTGCCAGCATCCATTGACTTCATGTGGATGGGGTGATTGAATGCAGGCACAGATTCAGGCCTAAATGTTCTCCTTCATGTTCAGGCTCAAGGAAAATGTGTGTCAACAGCCAGTAGCAGTGAGGATCAAGGAGGAAACTAGATTTTCTGTAACCTTCTCATCTGAGGAACGATGGGGAAAGCATGGGAAATATGGTGCAGGTGCACACTGGATTTCCTTTGTCATTTGTTAAACATCAGTGTCAGATTGGTGGGCGATTCCCTGTTTTGGGGTTGCTTTCACACATCTCCTAGCTGACCAGTGCCACTGCTGGAAGCCACAAACAGGTCCCGCTTTCTCCCCTCTTGGCCAGGATCAGTATCGCAATAAGAGATGACAAGTGTGACTTAGCAATAAAGTAATTGTCTGTGTTTCTTTAGGGTTCTGATGAAACAATTCGCGTTGTTTCCATGGATAAGGACTACCACGTGGAATGCTATCAGTGTGAGGTAGGTCACTGCATTTAAAGAGGTAATAGAACAAAGGCCTCATAAATGAATGTTTAAATGCCTTAGATTTGGGGAATGCATGCTCTCTGATCATTTTAATATCCGCTATTTCTGTCTTCATAAATAGTAGTCTCTTGGCAAACAATGATATCTGTGTATTTTCAACACACTATTATTTAGTGAGGGCATTTTGCCTTAGTTTAAGTGTGTGTAACTTTAGCACTCACTTCACTAGCTTTTCCTTTCCATGCTGAACCTGTCTGGTGTCTGTTGTGCACCATGTGTATTTTGCTCCATGTGTAAACCTTGGGCCTGTGAGGGAAAAGCAGGTGGTCTTAATTATATCATTTAACAACCTAATGAAAAGATTAGTTTTGAATTGAGCAATAAATCTTTTTCATTGTTTTTTCTACGTGAAAAGTGCCATATAAATGTAATTTTGTCGTCGTTGGTTAATGACACGATTACAGCACTTAAGTTTCCCTCTGTGCACGTGGTTTATATGTGTCATATACCTGGTTTAACATGGCCCTGTGTGTGTGGATTCACTTTTTATCTTGTCTACACTTCTCCTCACTACCTCTATGAGCTGCTAACTCCATACTGAGCTGGACACCTCCTCCGCTCAGCGGGCTCCTTCCTGCTCCAGGTTCCCTGTCCGGCCCAACTCACCAATCGGTGTCGGGCCTTCAGCCTCTCGGCTCCCACCCTTTGGAACTCCATCCCACAGTCCCTTTGTCTCGTTGGCTCCATTCCTGATCTCTGTCTTATATCTTTGTAGAAAGCTGTGTATGGTGGAGGGGGGATTAAGTGAGGACATAGAGGGAGGGAGGGGACGCAGAGTAAATTAGGTCAGGGCACAGGAGGAAGAGCTGGAGAAAATGGCAAGAACAGTGGGATCCATTGTGGGTNGGGGGAAACTGAGGGGTCTTCAAGAGAGCTGGTGGGGGTGATGCCAGCAGAATGTTATCACTCAATAAAGACATATTATCCCTCGTCCCGAACACAAACGGAACTAAAGAGAAAATACTAAAGAGAATATCAATGTTTAACAAATGACAAAGGAAATCCGGTGTGTACCCGCACCATATTTCCTTCCAATGCTTTCCCCATCGTTGCTACAGCTACAGAATTCATTATGCATTTCAAAAAGTAGGCTTTGCGCGTCACCTTGAGAGCAGAAAGCTCACCAGTTCAGTCTGTGAACCGGTCTGTATTAAGTCGGGTGTGGCTTTTGAGATGATCTGAGACGATGTTTGATACAAATATCCAGTTGGCAATTGGCCAACATCACTGCATTCCACAACTGACTATTCTCAGCAATAATGCTATCGTGTGAGGACTGCTTGTTAATAGGGGAGTCAGGAGGCTACCACACAGAGAAGGGAGAGGGGTGGCGACAGTTCCACAGAGGGGGAAGGTGGGTGAAGGTGAATTATAATATGGGCTTAATTAGCTTTTTGTCCACTTGGCTGAAGTAGGACATCTTTCTTGCACACATTCAGTAAAGTCCCTTTCGGCCCTGGGATCCGTTATTGTGAAGCGCTCTGAGACGCCGTTCGGCGTGGAGGGCGTTATATAAATCCAAGTTGTTGTTACCACCTTATTCCTGCCTTTTTTATCGGTCTGCGATATATAGGGAGATATATTTAGTTGCTGACGTCAGTGCAGTGAGCTCACCACAGAATGGCATGCTGATTTCCTGTGACCTGCTCTAGTAGTCAGTTAACTTTGTATCCTGTCTACACTTCTCTTCCCTATCTCTGTGACCTGCAATATGATCTCCATCACATTGCCCGCCTCCGTCCATACATCACAACTAACGCAGCAGAAAACTTCATCCATGCCTTTGTCACTTCCTGGCTGAACTATTCCGATGCCCTCCTTGCTGGTTTCCCCAGCTCCACAATACACAACATTCAATTAAAAACTCCACGCGGATACTCACCCACACAAAACTCCATACCCCCATTACACCAGCCCTAGCCAGACTCCACTGGCTCCCAATTGACGAACGGATCAACTTCAAGATCTGCTCACTTGTTTTCAAATCCCTTCATTCCCTCGCACCTCCCTCCCTATCCAATCTGCTTACCCCCACTCCACATCCCGCTGACTCCGCTTGGCTTCGGCCTCCTGTTTGTTTCTCGTCCCCTCCGCTCCACCATTGGCAGGGCCTTTGGCCATCAGCCTCTACGCCCTGAAGGTCTGGAACTCTCTCCTTCAACTTTCGCCTTGCCCCCCTGCCTACCCCTCTTTCAAACCCGCCTAAAGACCTTCCTTTTTAATCTTGCTTACGTTCATAGGTAAGCACAATCAAAACTCCCCTGGCTGATTGCCCACCTCCGTCCGTACACCGCAACTAACACAGCAGAAAACCTTGTCCCTCTCCCGCTGGCTCATTGTTAGATTCCACCATTGTCAAGCTCTCTGGGACGCTACCCCGGGTGAAGGGCGCTATATAAATGCAAGTTGTTGCTAACTCTATACTGATCTGTCCGCTCTCCCTGCTCAGCACTCTCCGGCCCGCTCCATGTTCCCCGTCCGGCCAGCCCCACCATTGGAGGTCAGGCCTTCAGCCTCTCTGCTCTCACCCTCTGGAACTCCATCCCACAGTCCATTCGCCTCGCTCCCCCCCTTGCCTCCTTCAAGGCCCGTCTAAAATCCCTCCACTTCCACCGGGTCTTCGGCACTCTCCTACCTCTACCCTCCCTAATCCCAACCCCCAGCTTGGGTCTCTGGATGTCATCGTTCTCTCTCTTTCCAGGAATGTGGCATGGAGCTGAATGATGAGGAGGGTCACCGTTGCTTCCCGCTGGATGGACACTTGCTTTGCCATGCCTGCCACCTCAAACACATTGACAATGGGATGCCTAGCTCCATTTACCATCCGAAATATTAGCCGCTCCCACAGGTGGCTAGTGCAGGCCTGATCCACTTCAATATTGAAGCCACCCTTAGGACACTGAGGGCCATAGAGACCCCAATGATGCCTGGGGTTTGAGTGACTGTTTTGCACAGAGCTCTGTTCAGGTGCTGGAGAAGAGCGGCCTGGAATGGGGAAGCCTTCAGCTACTGCCGAGTAGTGAAATGGAGCATATTTTTATTTAAACAAAACGTGCTGTGAAACGCTATTTTACTGAATTCTAAACACCACCAAAGCGTGACTTTGTTTGGTGACTGCGTTAAGCCACAACAGGCCTCCAAAGTGTATTTAAAGGCAGACTTGTGTGTGAAGCTTCTGACATTATTAGTGAGTCTTTCGGAGACTCACAAGACCTGTAATAAAGAAACTTTGACTGAATGAACTTTACAGAAGAAAGAAATCCATGAAGAAAGGTCACGCATGGGAGTAGCACATAAATCACTCATGACTGGAACCGGGGACCTGAAATCGCTCATGATCTTAGCCTTAAAACTATTGTTTGAAAATTTAAGCTTGTGCAGCATTTTGGAAAATGTTTACATTTCTGGATTTGGGAGTCGGATTTCTCGCATTACCCTAAAAAAAATTGTGAAAAAAACAGCTTCCAAACTAAGACCGAATTTGAGGATTTTCCAAACCATCATATGATCTTAAAATTTTGAGACTGCAAGGAATTTCGAGCCACAAAACTCTCTCACGGATCAACAAATCAACGGCTGTTGCCAGTGCTGAATGATCCGATCTTGGACATCCCGGATACACTTCACTCTCATCACGTGATCTTTGAGAGCCAAGAATTTTGTGTCAGCGCGCCAGAACATAGCATCCATCATCTATGAAAACCATTATCTTTACACAGAGATAGTACAGTATTGTAAATGAAAGGGTTGATTCACATAGATGTTTCAGACACTGTCTGGTTCTCACCAACTAACCCATATATATGTTGTGAGCTGAGCCGCTGACACAAGCACCACTTTGTGAAACAGATAATACAACAAAAATACATGTGATCAATTTACTGTAGGTCATAATTTTTTTCTGCCAGTTTTTCTTCCCTCTCTTGAAGTTGCTTTGATGACTTTTTCTTTCTACTGGGATCCAGTTCTATTTCTGTGGGACCATTACTCATGTGGCCATTATTTGTGTGAGCCTCAGCAGCCAGTTTGCATTGGCAGTTCATCCCCAGGGAGCACTACAGCCCTGTACCACCCTGCCTGTCCTCACCCAAGGTCCACGTACACATGCCTCTTCCAGCTGGAGGCCTCTGAATAGCAATGCCCCCACCAACTAAGCCAATTGTAGCACTTCCATCTGTTGCCCAGGTGAGATCAAGCAATTCTGTCAATGCAGATCAAGATCCAAACCTGGACAGTTAATTGCTGAACAGATGCCTTGACCCACTAGGACCTGTAGCTTATAGTTCCAATGGGTAAAGACACCTGGTCACCAATTGACTGTCCAAACGTGGATCTTGATCCACATTGATTGAGTTGCTTGATCTCATAGGGCAATAGATGGGAGTGCTGCAATGTGTGTGTGTGGACCTCGGGCAGGACAGACAGGGAGTTGTAGCTGGTAATTAAAACATTCCAAAGTTGGGTGTTCAAGAGGCTCAGTGGTTTATCTGTCCTTTCACGTCTGGGGCATTGGGTTTGTATCCAGACTAATGCGTTGAAAGTTTCCTCTCATTTGACTGGAAGGGTCTTGTTCCTTGAAGATGAGGCCCAAGGTACAAACTGGTCAATATTAGGGCATGGTCAATAGTGTGCTCAGTCACTATGAAGCAGCTGGAAATGCTCAAATGAACTGGATTACAGCTTTTGGTCGGAATTTTCCAGGTGATGACAGAATCGTGTTCGAGTCTTTTGAATGATCTCTTTGTCCTATGCAACTTGAGTTTATAAAGTGCCCTTCACACAGGATAGTGTCTCGGAGACCTACCCCCTCCCCGTCAGTGAAAGTCACCTCTTGAGGTATGGAATTTTACATTTATTTCATTTAAGGGAAGGAGGTACATTCCCAAGCTGTTATCCTGCATGAAGGGCACGTATAAATGCAAGTTGTTGTCGTCAGTGGTGGGTGAATAGCTATTGGAAAGTAAATCCTGGCAGCTCCACAGCACTGTGAATCCCCAGTATCGTACTCAAGGACCCGTTTTGCAAATCTGACCTTAGACCATGAGGTCCATTGTGCTCCGAAGCCAAAATTAGCAGCCTTCACTGCTACACGTTTATAGTGGGAGCCAACCATTGTCAACATGTGCAGAAAAGATTGCCATTGCTGGCAAACGCAGTGTAATAGCCTGCAGTGTTAGCAGAATGTTCAGCAGCTACCAAACCCACTCCAGCTTTCATCACTCACACGCGTCTCACACACACTAACTAGCACAAGTCACTCAAATAACGAATATGTCTGTGAATTTAACTCCCATTTTTTTTCATCTCTTCCCTAGCTCATAAGTGATGAAGGCAATCTACCACTGCCCTAAGTTAGCTCAGCTAATTCAGCACAAACCAGGGATTTCAACCCGAGACCATTCCTGATCTGCACAGCTCAGTACCTCACTGGAATGCAGAATTTCTCACTGATCCAGCGGTGGATTTGCATATGTTATTTGATGTCTCATGAAATTATCTAGGTATGAGATTAAATGGCTCTTTCATTCTCCTACCCTCCCCTCCCCCCAGTTCATTATGCCATTATGTGGGCGGCTAATCCTTTGAACATTTTAGAGGCATCAATGATAAGGCCATCAGATTGTAAAGCGTTTAAAATATTTTGCAGATGAAGCAACATACTAAGGAACAATTTTGATCCAATAAATCCAACATAAGTGCATGAGAATGCATTGTGGTATAAATATCCTGGAGCTTTATATGCAGTAATGGTGCCAGCAAGCTGCTTGTTGAGTGTGATTTTAATCAGTTTACAGCCCATTATTCCAGCATAAAACACACTGGAATGTTTACGATGTCTATTTACAATGGTGGAGTGCAGCCATTCAGTTGTGTCTGTGGAATGTGTGTTAGTCCTTACTGAATGCCCACATTCTCTCAGCTGGTTAATATCTAATGCTGCATATTAAATGGGTGGAGAGGGGGGAGTGGGGGGCTGTGCAACGTCAAAACCTTGCAAAGTACTTCACAGTGAACGGCTTGCAAGTTGGCATTCCAGGTTTTAAATTCTCATGTTTGGTTTTGGCCCCAACAAAGTGATGTATTTCTGAAGCGCTCCGAGATGTTATCTTAGGTGAAGAGTGTTGTACAAATGCAAGTTGCTTTTGTATGTAAATGTGGCAAATATATATGTAAGATGATGAGCTGATTGCTTTGTGAAACACTAGCAGCAGATTTAAGACAAGAGTTCCAGTCATTGTTTACAATAGCAAAAAGCTCTGCTCAGCAATGTAAAGTGTGCTGATAAAAATATGTCATCCGAACAGCCATCACAATTGAATTGCTGGATTGGACAGGGTTGTAAATGATGGAACGAAGCCCTCCAAATCCATATAAAATCATAGAAATGTATGACACTGTAGGAAGCCTCTCGGCCCATTTTTACGGGTTGATGTTCCTTGAAGCATTCATCCCAATGCTATATTGTGTGGGTGAATTATTATATTAAAAAAAGTATTATTTTTCACTAAATACTGGATTTCTGCGTTCAGAGTTTTAAGAAAGGAAACTCTTGGAATTAAAATTGAATCCTAACTCCACCGTGTCATGGGTATAACCTGAAGTGCCTTCTGGAGTTGAATCAGCACTAACAGTGTTCGTAACCAGGTATAACACTTCTCTGGTGAGATGGGGGTGGTGGGGGGGGGGGGGGGAGCGGTTAAGAAGCCTTTGAGCATCTCATCTTGGGGACGAGGAGAAAAAATCTGCACCTCTCCATTCAGTCAACTACTCATAAGGCAAATGGAATTGTGAAAATTGCTGGAAAAAACACTACTTTGGCTGCAACTTATTTGGCGTCAAGAAACTGCTCAGGTTTCTCGTCCTGGCGCTTAATAATAATAATAATAATAATAATCCTTGCATTTGATATAGCGCTTTTCACGTCGGGAGGACATCCCAAAGCGCTTCACAGAACACACTGTAAAGTGAATTGACTTTTTGTGGGCGAACGCGGCAGCCAATTAATAATAAGCCACCTATCAGTGCTCTCAAAAGAAATGGAGAAGTTCAGAGCTTGCTCATACCCAAAGTGTGTGTGGGGGGAGGGGGGGCAAAAGCAAATGTAACGCCCAATGTTAGAAAACGTTACTTCATAGAGATGAGCAATGTTCCCTATTCTTCCAATTGGAGAGCAGTAGGAAGGATCCCAGTTGTATTATTACCTGATCTGTCAATGATTATCTTGAGAGTCTCTGTCCAACTCTGCACTTCTTAAGTTTGTTTTTTTAGGGGAACATATTTTAGTGCTCAAGAAATGTAATGCTTCAAATCATCATCACGGCTTTGAACCATGGAGTAAAAAAATTAAGGAACTGATGTTCGGAATTAAAAAAAGAGACTGTGTGTTAACTTAAGCACTGTTAAACCTGTTGTGGAGGGAAGGCTGTTCAGAGGGAATGCCTTGATTTTAAATGATTTGAATGTAATGTTCTGACTTTGAGATCCTTTAATTCTCTAACTGGTGTTGAACTTTATGATCATGAGTACACTAATTTTATTTCTGGTGACCATGGTGAATATGGCGCTTTAGTTATAATTGATGTAACATTGATTACACTTCACAGTAGCCAAACATCTATGCCACGATGTTTTGCTGCAATTGGTGGGTTTCCAACAAACCTTGTGCTGTTCTCAGTATATGTGCTGCTTCACTCTGTGCAATGCTCAAAGTGGTCTCGTTCATTATCCTTATACTCAACAACTAAAAATTAGACTTCGTATAATGAATTTGTTAAGAAATATTATTTAAGGTTTTAAAAGTTAAGAACGGAAGCAAAATATTGTTCAGATGGAGTGCCTTGTTTATGTTTGCCTTTATGTATTTCTCACATTATTAGTTAATAAAGCAGATAACAGATTAGGGTGAAGCATTTTTAAAGGGATGGGACTGGTGGAGACAACAGTGCAAACATTCATGGAAACGTAGAAGATTTGAATGTAATGTTGTGACTTTGTCCTCCTTCATTCCTCTAACTGGTGTTGTATTTTATTGATCACTAGTACATCAAACTTATTTCTGCTGACCAAGGTTAACACAGACAACTCCTGATAACTTGACCCTGGCTTAACTTGTCACGACCACTTAAGTCATCATTCTGTCAGCATTTATTTACATATTTCTACGTATGCCTAACTCACCAGTGACTCTGTTTACTGTAACTTTTGGAACATTGAATTTGTGTTTATTAAAATCAGCGTGATTACCAACCAAACATCCCCCAAAATACCTGGATTCATGCATCCTGTGCCACAATATTTTGCTGGATTTGGTGTGTTTCTGTCAAACCCTGTGTGGTTCTCATGAAGCGCCATGGAAGATGAAATTTCCTTTAGTTGTTCAAAGTTAGCATTTTATCTTCTGATTCTTCTTTTGCCCTCTATCTCTTCAATTTACAACGTGTATGAATGCACGCGCACACACACACACAATCACTCAATCCTTGGGGGGGATGCACAATGCAAACAGCCGCGCTGAGGCAAGCCCAAGCTTGTCAGTTTTTTTTCTATTAAAAATGAAGTAACCGAGCTGTGCAGATCACAAATATCCCTGTTACAGTTTGGGTTTGTGTTGGGTTTCTAGTCCTGGTTGAGGAGCCGAAAACAAATCAAGCAGGGATCCACTGACCCCTACTGGAGATGTGGGCAGGATCAGCCTTGACTGCAACACTGGTGGTTAAATAACCTGGGGACACCTTTAACATGTGAATAATGGCCATTTGGATCCTAGAGGTTACATGGATCTGTCCTCCAGCAGAAAGCAAAAAAGGGGTGAAACACCCTCAGAAGATTAGATAAAATTTCACAGCACCTAAATGGGCCATTCACCAGCCTGT